TATTTCTCTTTTTGTGATATATTAATACTTTTTGAACCCATGTCTGCATCACTATTCTTACAAGATGATTGAGTATGTCGAGTATTCGACGACTATTCTTGGGATCCATAAAGAGAAGAAACTATATGTCTTGTTGAGTGAATGTGAATTATGGTTGAACTATTAAACATTTTCATGATATGTGATTTCTGATTTGGTGATCGATTGGCCCATCAAACATTAAAATTGTGGTGGACTAGATACGACTTATTATGTTACAGAGTCTTAATATTCCTTAGTAATCTATGAAATATTACCGACTTACTTCCGATTCTCTTAAATAGGGTCTATTCTAATGTCTAATGATTGGTCTCATAACCTGAACTTCACACATCAGATGGAACCAAATTGTATTGCAGCTGTCAGAGAACAAGCCTTTGATTTTATCACCTAATCGCCATTAGATGGGACTTATATAATTTGCAAACCTACCTGTCACCAGCGGAAGAAAAGTTAGTTATAAGGTAGATTGATGTAATATGGTCATTTCTTACAACAGCAATAGAGAACTTAATCAAGTAATTTGACAATGAAGAATAATATCACAGAGAAGCAAGCATCATCTCTACATTTTTGCCCCCAATTTCAATTTCTTATGTTAATAAACATAAATACAATTAAATATATACCCATGCTTGGTGCATATTGCATGATTGTTTACATATAAAGTAAATCTAATAGTTAAAAATAAAGTATGTAAATTGTAAGCCATAGTTTATTTTTTAAAATTACATTAATCACTCTCTCTTAATAAATATGAGTTTAGTGGAAACTATATTTTTCACATGTTATGCGACTGAGAAGAACAAACCAATGCAAATTAAAGAACTAAATGAATTCATCGCTGACCTGCTCCATAAAGAGATAGAAATTTGAAATTACTATGACAATTGAAGATTATAATACTTTTCTCACACGATCAATCCTTAACTCCAGTCTGCTCAATCTCTCAAAAATAATAACTCCAATGCACTCAATCTCTTAAAAATAATAATTTAATCATTTTTAGAAGAAATGAGAAAATATATAATGGTTAAGAAAGAAAATCATACCAACTCCATAACATGAAAAGACTATTTTACTGGCATTTCAATATGGATGAAAGTGAAGATACATTATTATATTTAAAATAAAGAGTAATTTACCATTTATTCAATGGACTAAAGGCAAATATTACAATTAAATCTATTTTTTTTCATTACAACTTAATTTCTGAATCCACAAAATTATTTCAAACCATAAACCTTTTAATATTTTTTACAAAATGGAAAAAGATCTTTCTATAATGTTTGGATGACAAAAAAAAGATGTAAAACGATCTAGTCCTAGAAAGTGCTGACCTAAAATGAGGTTTAAGAAATAATCATCTAAGCTTCAATATGGGTTTAACAGACCAAAACAGTCGATAGTTTCAAAAATGTTGGTTTTTGTACATCGTCAATATTTTTCCCCATCTAATCATGTCTAGAATTATTTTCAGAATTAAAGTGATGTTCTTCATCTCCTACTAGTAAAAATTTAATGTATTCATTAAGTTTCTTTAAAATAACATTTGAATGAGCAATAATTACCATCAAACATATAAAATTTATAAATTCAGAAGAATTTTGTTCTCCTGCAAGATTTGAAGCTTAAGATTTCATCAAGAATATTCAATAAAGCACTTCAAAACAATTAAGCACGTGCAAGCTTTAAAGTTGGAAAACAAACACCTGAGTTTATAAGCCAATAAATGACCCATGTTGGTGTTTTATGATCAAGGGCAAATTTTCATTACATATTGATTAATCAAACATTATAAAAGGACCAAAATGATTAAAAATAATTAATAAAATATTCTTAATAATATTTTTTTATTTTATGATTATTTAAAAAGTCTATATTCTTAATATATCTAGAAGTAAAATTATTAGAAATCAACTCTTTTTTAAAAATAATGGAAATCAGATCTTAATCTTGATGTTATATTTTCTAAATCAAACTCTAGTTTTTTATTTCAAAAAAAAATATTATACTTATTTTAAAATTTCATGGGATAAATAACATTTTTTTTTAGATAAACATGGGATAAATAACCATTAAATATATTCAAAAGATAATAAATTAAATAATAAAAAATATTATTTATTTATTTATTCAAATTATCATATTTATTTCAAATGTAGACATAATAGACTTTTTCCTAATTGTTATTGACATTAGTATTAATATTATCAATATTATTTTATTTTATTATTACTCAAATTTTATACTCATTAATTTTTTAAAAAATAAAATAATTATGAATCACATTTCAATTATTTATCTTCTATTTTCTCAAATCAAACTTGATTCATTTAGTTTATACAAACAATTTTCAACTATGTTATCATTTCAAATAGCTATAGACAATATGTTACTATTGTAACACCTAGGTCTGAAAATTAGGCCCAAGATAATTAAATAATAATAATCTAAATTAGAAAAAATTTAATTTTAATTTTTACTTAAATTTTTTAAAAAAATTGTATTTTTGGTGTATTTGAAAACATTTTCAAAAATCAAAGTTAAAGTATAAATAAAAGAGAATCTATTTGAAATAAAAAAATCTGAAAAACTGTGGTAAAAGTGAAAATACCAAACATTTGGCCGTGTGGATCGCCACGTCAGCAGCACTGCTGGGTCGCTGTGCGCCACGTGGCAGACACGCAAACAATTGTCCCCGCAGGCGATCCGCGTGCTAACAAAATCCAACGGTCCAGATCTCCTCCTGTGCACACGGACAGCGTAGATCTATTTCCTCTTCAGACACAATCGAATTGCTAGATTTAATCCGATCGTGCACCCCAAATTAATTTTCCAAATATGAGCAATCCAACGACTGAGAGTGGGCCACGTGTCCTGCACATACGGCCCAGATCGACATAGAAAGGGTATTTAAACATCGTTTCCCAAAAAAATCTAACCCTAGCCGCATCTGATCTCGCCGGAGAAGAAGAAGAAGGGCAGTTGGAAGGAAAACTGACCACTATCGCTGCCACACTAGAGCCGCCACCGACACCGAGGAGGTAAGTTTTCCCCTTTCGTTTCGAAATTTGATTTCAAGCCTTCTCACACCCATATCGACGCCAAAAAGCCAAAATTTAATACCCGGCCCCAAAAAACGACCCGAAATAATTTTTTTATTATTTAATTATTAATTTAAAATAATTGATTAATTTATTTTACTTTTATTTAAGTGAAATTTTGAGAAAAAATAAATTAAGGACAAGATTGAAAACAATTTTGGAAAAAATAGGTGAAAATTTGAGTTCTTAGGGTGTTTTTGAAAAAAAATTTGGAAACAAATGGTCAAAGTACAAATAGAGAAAGTTCGGCCACGTATGACAGTCCAATCAGCAGTTTCGACAAACCGGAGCGCACCGCGTGGCAATATGCGGTCACGTCGGTGCCATGAGAGAGGCCACGCTGGCAATTCGTGTGCCCCACGATTGGACGGCCCAAGATCGAACCCCTGCGCGTGGACAGCCTAGATCCGTTTTTCCCTTAAGCATGATTGAACGGTCAAGATTAATCACGATGAACAGTCCAGATTCGTTTCTTCTTTAGGCGCGATCGGACGGATGAGAAATCGATCGCAATTGACGGTCCAAATCAATACGAGATGGTTATAAATATTTCGCATCACACGGGAACCTAAACCCTAACCGTTAGCCCTCGCCGAAGAAGAAGAACCAAACGCTGGAGAAGGAGGCTGACCGCGGACCGCCCCCGTGCCAGAGTCACCGCCGACCGCCAAAAAGATAAAAATTCTCTCTACCCGTTTGGAATTCGATTCCGAGTACCCCTGTGGCCAAATCGGAGCAAGAGAGACGGTAGGTGAACCGAAAACTACAGGCAAAACCTGGCGGAGCCATCGCGGCTAAAACCTCAAAACTCATCCGATGAGCCCCTTTCCGATTCCAGTTTCACATGATTTTTCGATCATTGTGTTCACTGTCTCTTTCTATGTAAGGTAGCCGAAGAAAGAACTTCAATTGTGAAGGAGGGCTGGTGAAGCCGTTGCACCCAAAGGTTCCCCCGCCAGTAGGTTCAGTTTTTTCGTGATTTTCTGGCCAAACAAAGCCCCTAACGTGTTTTTCTGCATGGATACGGTCAAAACTGGTCAGGGCGAGGCCAACCGTCGCTATGAGTGGCGGAGCTGGCATCAGAGCACGGCAGCGTCGCTGTGGACGGCGGAGCCAGCGCCAGAGCACGGCGACACCGCCATGCTGGAACCCCAAAATTAGTAGGAATAAGTTTTGGGCACCAATTTTGAATTTTTGATGTATTTTTAGGTATGTAACAAGTGTTTTGAATTATACAAGAAAAATTCAGGAAACTTGATATCCATTAGGAAGTGTAATCGATACTTCGACACCTCAAAACACTAATCCAGGTAAGGATCTCTTACCCTATTCTCCGTTACAGTAAATTGAGACTTAACGATGTATAATTTTGTGTTTTTGTTAAAAATTAAAAAATCTTAAAAATAATTACAGATTACTAGTGGAGCCGGAACCGGTTAGTTCACAATTGTTTCAATTCCTGTTTATTTTTCTATATTGTCCTACTTACTTGATTTTCGTATAGCACATGTTTTAATTTATAGTTCAATAATATTATCAACTTATCTTATTATTTTGTTTATATACCGCCAGTATGAATGTAATTTAATTGATCTGTGAATGTGATATGAGATATTGGTATGAGTTTGTTGGTTTTTTGTTGATGAAAATCTATATATGAAAGACTTATTGTTTATCCAAGAAAAGGGTTGTAACACCCAAAGATTTTTCTTTTATTTTTATTTTTATTTTATTTTAATTTAATTCAGAATTTTGTTTATTTTATTTTATTTTAATAATTAATTTATAAGGTTTTAATTTAATTTAATTTAATTTAATAGAAATAAAAATAATAATAATAATAAAATGGGGTAAAATTATTTTTGAGATTTAATTGAAATTGAATTTGGAAAAAATGGGTGAAATTTTAGATTTTTGGGGTGTTTTTGAAAAGAAAATCAAAAACCGGGGATCAAAACGTAATTTAAAAAAATAGCGCCTCGTCAGCAACTGCATCAGCGGCCCCGGCCAACCAGGACACGCCGCGTGGCAGGGACGCTGACGAGGGAAGCCACGCGGGACGGAGACACATGGGCGATCCGCGTGCGCGCGATCGGACGGCCTAGATCCGTTCCCGCGCGTGGATGGCCCAGATCTCACGCGTGCGGATGGTCCAGAATTGATCACGCACGGACTGCGCAGATCGCATCGTGATGGACGGCCCAAATTTATTTCCAATTTAATCGTGATCGGACGGCACAGATTAAATCATGATGGACGGCTCAGATTAAAAGGGGATGGTTATAAATAATCGCATCCACACCCAACCCCAAACCCTAGCCGCCA